TCAGCAGCACATATTTAAGTTGTTGAAGTGCTATAATGTTTGTGGTCTACAACGGATAGAAGATCAAAATGTGACAAGCCGGAAGATAAAAAAAGATTTGAAGTCATTTATGCAATTACATATTTTGAGGTCTGGTTTAGTTCTCTGTAACTTCCTTTTACCTAATTTTTCTCTGGATAATGTACTTGCAGTCATCTCAAAATAACAACCTGGATTTTCAGACCAGTCAAAAGCAGTTACAACAGGGAACTTGAAGCTTCATAATGTCCATAATTTAGTTTTGATGCAGTGAACCAAGGTTTATATGTCATTAAATATTCTCGACGAATGAAGATCATAAGACCATGTATGACAGGAGCTTGGCATTTTGAGGTTCTTTTTACTTCATTCTTTGTATTTTATTTTTCTTTTTTGGCTTTACAAATAGTTTCCTATTTAAACCAAGCATCCAATTTTATCTACAGAGCTCTTATCATGCGGGCAAGATTGACAGAGGCAATCACCTTGAAAAACAACAGAACCTCTGTACTTACTTCTTTAGGGTTGCAAACCCACTTTTCATAGATTATTATCTGTTTTAGTTATTAACTGCAATTATAATATTAGGACCTCGACTTTATTTTCAACGCTTCAACTTTAGCCCTAAAAAATTTTTTTTTTTTTTTTTTGTCTCGTGTAGTTTATGCACAACAGCAGAGGAAGATGATTAGGCTTCTTACAAAAGAAGTCCCAAATACACGAACATGGTTACGACAGTCCCAGCACTGATAGCCATTAGAACCTTAATTATCCATCCTGATCCTGAAAAATGTGAAGTTTTCCCATGTCGCAGCACGGAAGAAGTAGCCACGAATGATTCAGCCACTCACATGACCTTGTGAGTAATCATCACCATTTATATTTGTTTTCCTTGAAAGGGGATAATGCTGAGCAGAACAATGACAATGCAGGAGGATGTGAAAAATGCAATGTTGTTTCTTACTGTAAAGAACTTAAAAGCCGTTGTTCTGCAACGTTGAATTCCTTTTCAACCACCCTCCTGGAAGGCTGCACAGGAAGGTTTATGCCAGCAGTAAAAGTAACTGCGACAATCAAACTTGCCACCATTATAATTGAGCTCTGGGCATTTTGAAGCGCTCTTTGTATATCTCATATTGCCTTTGCTTTCTCTGGCAAATTTTGAAAATTTCGTTCAGTTCTCTCTGTGTCTATCACTCAGGGTCCTGATTCTTTCAGATTGCACAAATCTTTTGCTTCTGTCAGGTGACTGATTCTAATTGCTTATTGCCTTAAATTTCTGGTTTTTGTAGGGATGGAAGCTCAAGTAAATCCTCTGTTCACATTGTTCCATGATTGATGTAGGCAAGAAACCAAAACATTGTTGACTGCTTGTGTCAGGCCAGGTGGGGCGCATATCCTGTTTTTGCTTCTGGATCTGTGGTTTTTTTATGGTACTGTCATGACTATCATATTTTTATTTAATTTGACACTCCCTGGAGTCTTTTACTAGATTTTGCTGACATTCTTGAGCTTGATGTAGGCACAACTTCTGCCTGCTGGCAAAGTTGGAAGTCTAAGGGCAGTCACACTGTTGCCCATATCAATCCTTTGGAGTTTTGAAGTATCAGCTATTGAGAATGTATTCTGAGACCACTGGTGATCGAATTAACAATTCTGTGCTTTGTTTACAAGCAGCTGTTTTAAGACTTCTTGAACTGGTTGCTTTCTGCATCACTTCTAGCACCGTATGTCCCTCACAATAGCAGCAATTGATGTTCTCTGTTGTTATCAAAAATTATACTGCTAACTAATTAATTTGAAATAGACATCTTCAGATAGTACAATTAAAATCAATGCGAGCGCAAACCATTTTGTTCTTTATTTGCAGTCTTGAAACTTTCCACTAAATTTTACAGCAAAATGACACAGTTTCTCTCTCATGTTAGGTACTCCTTAAGGCGGAGAACTTAACAAGAAATCATCAAGGATTGAACTTTGCCATGATGGCTGCAAAGTGCAATAGGGTGTAACCTTTCTCATTGTATTTCAGAGCAAGTCTTGGTGAACTAAACAATCTAGTTATCTTCAAGAGTCCTCTGCTACAGGCACAGTGCAATGGAGAGAATATCCAGTCTTGTTGGTTTTTTAGCAGCACCTCCAATATGCTCTGACAACTTCTGCGTTATAACCATGTTTCTCTAGACTTTAGAATGAGATTTGATTTTTACTTGTGTTCCCCTTGTTGTGGCAACATATAGACAGTTAAATCTCCTCATCCTTTTTAAGATCCATCAACAAGGATTGATTCATCATGAGCTTCACCACATCAAATGCCATTTTTTACCAGGCAATGGAAATTGCACCTCCATTTTCATAGTTAAGCTTTGTGGCATCCTGGATTAGTCTCCAAGAGCAGCATTACCACATTTGCTTTCCCTTATGACAAGCTTCGTGCAATGGAGTCTCAAGCTTCTGTTCAGTTGCAACAATTTGAAGCGCCTGAACCTTGAGGCATGGTACAACACCGTTCAAGTGATAATCAGAATTTTTTTTTTTTTTTTTTTTCCTGTGTGTGTGTGTACCAGAATCTTTGTCTTAACAGAATTGTCAAAGAAACCTCTATCATTGTTGGCAATTTCCTGGAAAGCCTTGAATCCATTCCTTCTTTTTAATTGCCTCTGCTACTAAATATTCAAGAAACTGTACAAATCTTGTAAAGTGAAGTAATGTTGAAGAAGTTATCACAGTGTTAATTCCTCTTTTTGTGTTCTTATTCATCCATTGATGAGGTGTACTTATACTCAACTTTGACTGAAAGTATCCTCTTCTTTGATTCTTCATGGAATTCATTAGGTTATTTCCTGGAACCTTTCTTCTTAACAAATTAATTCTTGCAGTGTGAAGAAGCAATATTTTTTGTAAGGACAGGAACAACACTCTAAAGACATAGTGAATGATTAACAATACAGAAATTGATAATTATCAGAAAACACCTTATTATTATATGAATCATATGTGAAGGAGTATTTGAAGAGTTAAGAAATTGCTTGGATTGTTTTTGCAAGCCGAAATAGTCTCAAAATCACCTAATCATTTGATGGGCTGAAATGCTTTCGCAAGTCCAGTCCACACTTCAATTCTTTATTTTCGTCCAAAAGTTTCAGGCTAACGTATTTAAGTTCTTGTGAACCAGTTGAAATTGGAAAGTTTATCAATCAAAATATCTGAGTTCATCTTTCTCTCCTCATAATTTCGAGACAGGGTTACTTATTGAAAACCAAGCATCAAATTTCATCTACAGAGTCGTTATCATGCTGCACAAGATAGACAGAGCAATGTGCCGTGGAATATATAACATAACCTCCGTCCTTAAGTTGCAAACCCCTTTTCACAATTATATTGTCTGATTTAGTTTTTAAGTGCAATTGTCGTTATTAAGACATGGAACTTTATATTCAAAGCTTAAACTTTCAGCCCCTAAACAAATATTTCTCGTCTCACTGCAGATACTGCACGTCATAGGGGGAAATGTGATTAGGTTTACAGATTTCGTTCTAAATGATGGTACTTACAATTGAGAACAGTGCCAGGAAGCAAACCACAATCATATACCAGTTAGTTATGCTTGGTACCTTCTCTCTATTCTTTCTCTTTATTTATGCTAGTTGAAAACATATAACAGAAGATTTTGACTGGTTAATTATTCAATAATGCTCAAGTGCATTATGCTGATATGTGCTTGCTTTTAGAGGCATGTAAGTTGCTGTTTCTTTCTATTGTAGTAATTGTTTATTTATAGTATTGATTAACTCTGGAAGCAAGATATTTTTCTTAATGATTTGTTACTATGTTACTTGCAACAAATTTCTCTCTACTTGTATACGTAAATATCTAGAGGAATTTTCGACTTGAATTTTTATTGAAAAGCTAATTCTATAACCGAATGGTGAATGAAAACTTAATGTGATAAATGTCAAGATTTGCAACTTGCATTTTTCATGCTTCATTTGTCATTAGCTCTGACTGAACACTTAAGAGTGGAACTTTAAGCCACTAGCCTCTAAGTTTAACATTTTGCTCTAGCGTTATTTTATTCTTTTAAACTTTTTCAATTTCGTTAACATCCTGTAGCTAAATTCTAGGCAATATTGAAGAACTGAAAGAATCTAATTCTGAAATGTTTTGCTCGTAAATATTGGCAAGCAGTTACAGAAGTATTTATATGTTTGATACACGATATTCGCCCTTCTCCATTAAAAAGAAAAGAAAGACTTGACATTATCTTTGTGGATTTAAATTTTCAATATGCATGATATCCTAATGAGGTGGAACTGTCAACATCTGAGATGTGATTCTGAATGGATTTCTCCTTCAGCATTAGTTCTGTCATGTTTGACTGAGCTTTATCTTGAATGGTTGCAGTTTTTCTCCTCCTCTTACTCTTTCTCTTCCCTCCACTTCAACTTCCTTAACCAATGTCTTGTCAGCGCAATTGCCAGATACAAGAACACTCCTACGGTCCCAGCACTGATAGCCAGTAAACTTCAAACATCCTCCTGATTCTCTACAATGTGGCATGGTCCACCATGTTGCAGCAATGTAAGCATAGCCATGAACGACACAGCCACCCACATGACCTTGTGAGTAATCACCAACATTTTCATCATTTGTTTTCTTGAAGGGGATGATGCTAACTAAGACAACAACAATACACAAAGATGTGAAAAATGCAATGTTGTTGCTTACTGTAAAGACCTTAAAAGCTGTTGTTCTGCCAACGTGGATTTTCCTTCAGGCCCCTCTTGGAAGACCCCACCAGGAGGTTGTGCCGCAGTAAAAGTAACTGTGCAATCAAAATTGCCACCATTATAATTGTGTTCCTGGCATTTTGTAGAGCCTCTCTGTATATCTCATATTGCTTTTGCTTTTTATTGCGACTTTTGGAAAGTTATTCAATTCTCTCCTGTGTATATCTCTTAGCGCGTCCTGAATTCTTTCAGATCGCACAAATCCTTTGCTCTGTTAAGGACACTGGTTCTAATGGCTTGTCATCTTGAATTTCTGGTTTCTCAAAGGGTGAGCCTCAAGTAAATCCTGTTGACATTGGTTCCATGCTTGGTGTGGCAAGAAACCACAAGATTCTGATGGCGCTTGTCGAGGCCGGGAGAAGCATATCCAGTTTTTCCTTCTGGCTCTGTAGTTTTATTCGGCTACTGTCATGACTATCATATTTTCTTTTATTAGACACTCCCTGAATCCTTCCTAGATTTTGCTGACATGCTTGAGCTTGGTGTAGGCACAACCTCTGCTGGTAGCCGAGTTTGAAGTCTAAGGGCAGCTCACAACCGTTGCCTATATCAATCAGATATTGAAGAAGGCTCCTGTTTTTTGTCTCAAGTATATCTTTGAGTTTTCAAGTGTCTGTGTCGAGCATTAGTTTCTTTGCCCCTGAAAAGAGCAACAACTCGGTTCTTTTACCAGCAGCTGCCTTTACGGCTTCTTTAACTGCTTGCTTTCTGCATTACCTGGAGACAGTTCAAGAATTTCAAGTACCGTATGTCCTTTATTATTGCGGCAGTTTAGAATCTCTTTGTTGTATTCACAATGTACATGGCTAACTGAAATCATTTCAAGATAAAACATCATTAGATATTAATTAAATCAAAACGCAAAATGTTTTGTTCTTTATCTGAAATCCTGAAACAATTTAAGTTAAATTCTTACTTGGTAGTTTCCTCTAGAGACTGCAAGATGTAATATGGTGTTGCCACATTGATCTTTCTTGAGGAGAAGATCAGATGATATGAGAAAATTTGCCAGACATACAAGTGCATCATATTGGTTGAATCTTACAGCAAGATGACACACTGTTTCCTCCTCTTTGTCAGTACTGGAAGGATGGGAGAACTTAACATGAATTCTTCAAGGATTGGAACTTTGCCATGTATGGCTGCCAAGTGCAATGGGGTATAACCTTTGTCATTGTATTGCAGAGCAAGGTCTTGGTCAAGCCTCAAAAACAATCTTGTTATCTCCAAGTATCCTCTGCTACAGCACAGTGCAACGGAGAATATCCTCTTGTGCTCTTTCGAGCAAAATTTGGCCGCACCTCCAATATGTTCTGAACAATTCTGCATATAACGCACTTAAATGAGTTCAGAAAAACAAGTTGATCAGCTCCAACTTTTGTTCTAGAGTAAAAGAATACAGTTATTACCTGTGTGCCCCATTGCTGTGGCAACATGTAGGCAGTTAGATCAATCCCATCTTCTTCAAAGTCCATCAGCCAAGATTGATTCATCATGAGCTTCACCACATCAAGATGCCCCTGTCTGCAAGCTATGAAAAATGCACTTCATTTCATAGTTAAGCTTAGTAGTTACCCAGGCTTTGTCTCCAGGAGCAGCATTACCGCATCTGCTCTACCTTGTCGACAAGCTTCATGCAGTGGAGTCTCAAGCTTCTTGTTCACAGTTTCAACCATTTCAGGATGCAACTCAATGATGTCCTTCACCAATTCGAAGTGCCTGAACCGTGAGGCAAGGTGCAGCACGGTGTTCAAGTGATAATCAGTTCTCTGTTCCAGAATTCCTTCGTTGTCTTGAACTAAATTGTCAAGGCATCTCTATCATTGTTGCAACTGCCTCGAAAAGCCTTGAATCCATGTCCCTTTCTTAACTTCTTGCTTCAAATGCTTCAAATCTCTTGAAATCCAGAAAATATTGTACAAATTTTGTGATGTGAAGTAATGTTAGAGTTATTACATATATATACTATTGCTATCAATCCATTGATGAGCTGTTATCCTACAAAACTTGATTGACTCTACTTTATAGTCAACTTTCTACTTTCCTCATGTAATACGTGTCATGTTATTATTAGGTTCTTTCCAGGAACTTCTTCTTCACACATTCATAATTCTTGCGGCTTCAATTCCTGTCAGTAAACAAAGCTCTAGCTTTTGTAAGAAGTTGAAGCTATAACAGCTATAGAAAGAAAAACAGGTGGCATCCATCTTCTGAAATGGTAGCCAGGCTTGTTAGGAAAAACGACTTCTGGTGGTACAAAGTGAACAAGACAACCTTGGAATGGCATACAGTAAGGCATGAATTGTTTATGAGCTGTCTTTGAAGATCCTTTTTCTATCCAGATTTGCCATTTAGATTCCTCAGGACCCAGTCAGCTGGTTTTGAGAAGAATCTTTTACCGCCGAAACTGCATAGTATACCTTTCTGTTTTCACTTCTGCTTTGAAAATGAATGGTTTTATAAGAACCATAAATGAAAAGAGAAACCTTAAGATAAGTCTACAAAAAGATAACTACCGTCTGGCGCTTCGAGATTCCATTTTTATTCGATGTGGATGAATATTCTACCAGAACCCATTTCAATCTACCTTATCAGTGATTTATAAAGAACACCATATTAAATTATATAGAAAAAAAAGGTCTACAATAATATATAAATAGTGTTATAGACACTACTGAATTGTTCAGATAATTAGGACGAATTTGGGATACTATGGATAGATCGCATGGCTCAATTTTGATTCCTATATAACATCCATAATTTAAGTGGGAGGTCGTGATGGTAGGGTTTACTGCACTAGTCTCCTCCAAGGATTCGTTAAAACACGCTAAGCATCCCAATTTCTTGATTTAAAAAAAAAAAAAAAAAAGTGTTATGTAGTCTAGGAATGATTGGGGTCAATATGCATTATTGTACTTATCATTTGATGGGCCAAAAATGATTACCTATCCACATTTCAACTAATTTCTAAAAAGAGTATGTTACAATTACAACGGTATGCACCGAATGACGTGACAAAAATGATTGTTAATTTATTATAAGTTAATATTAATCATAGTCAAGATTTTGTCTGTCATTCGATACATAAATCGGGTACACTTTTGGTATTCTATCTTTTCTCTAAAATGCTGAGGCAAATATTTGTTTTCCTAAAGTACTTTCAGATAATAAGTGATATTACTTATCATTTAATTGTAGAAAAAAAAAAATCCTTCCGATTTATTAAAATATTATTATATTTTGTTATCTTGTCCATACATAAAAGTGAAACTACCTGTTAACTACAATCTCTTCAGTTTGCGCATAACTGTGAAGAGTTAACTTCGAACTCAAACCTTATCCCCTCAAACCCTCCTTAACCCCCAACATATTTCTCAGGTAAACTCCCTTCAACTTTCTTTCTTTGTAATTCCTTTATGCGTTTTGTTTTTGCTTTGTATGTAGTCAAACTGGCGATAAGAAAAGAAACTTTTCAACTTTTATGTCTTTTGGTTGATAGTGAGACAAAACTCATTTTAACTAACTCAACTTGCTGTGTTAGTCAATGGGATTTTATTCTCTTGTGATAGAGTGATAATTGGAATGTGTTTGTTTGCTGGGAAAATATGGGAAAAAATGTATTGGTTTTCGGTTTGAAGGGTTAAATGTTTTTAATTTCAACATGGAAGATTTCGATAAACGATTTCTGTGACAATGTTTCTGATTTTGTGCTCAATGAAATTTATTGGCTTACAGTTTGCGGCATTGGGATTGTGTAACATTGTTGTAAGAATTGTTTAACCCCTTTTAATTATTGAGTTTACTGGTTCTAGAAGAAAATGGCATCATCTTTTACTGCCACATCCTCTGTTGCATCCCTTGCATCTCCTTGCCGTGCAGAATGGATGATAGATTTTGAGTTCTTCGAGTAGATTGTCATCGTTGGCTTCCATGTCTTCAAGTGCCTTTGTTGGTAGAAGAAAGTGTAAATCTGCAGAAAAGGTGGTCCCTCAAGGTTAGCATGGCTAAGGAACTGCACTTTAACCAGGATGGTGATGCCATTAAGAAGCTACAAGTAAGTTAGCAGTTGGTAGTTGCGATAATTCGCAGAGAAGAATCAATTTGTTCAATCATTACTTTACTAGTTCTTTCATTTCAGGCAGGTGTTAACAAGCTTGCAGATTTAGTGGGTGTCACTCTTGGTCCGAAAGGGAGGAATGTTGTTTTAGAGAGCAAGTATGGATCCCCAAAAATTGTTAATGATGGTGTGACTGTTGCGAAAGAGGTATACTTACAATAAGTAACTCTATCAGTCCATAGCCACCATTCCATTTATCGAAGCAATAAAAGAAGAATTTGGCTTTAATAATTCATCTCTCTACTATTTCAGTTTTGTCATTTAGGAAGCACCTTTTTAGTGGTTCCCTTTTCCATAAATTCTCATGTGTTTTGATTTTTGAACCTTAAGTTAATCTGGTTTTAAGGAGGTATGCATCTGTTAGGCCCAGCAGGGTTACACTCACATGTCGACTTTTAATAATATGGTGGAATTTTAGGTTGAATTGGAGGACCCTGTGGAGAACATAGGTGCTAGATTGGTTAGACAGGCTGCTTAAAAGACCAACGATTTGGCTGGCGATGGAACAACCACTTCTGTTGTTCTGGCACAAGGTTTGATTACTGAAGGTGTTAAGGTTGGTAATTTACATTTACATATATAACAGCATGGATTGATATTAACAGTTATGTCAAGATCAATTATTAGAGTTGAATTCACGTTGCTTATTTGGTTCTGTATCATGCAGGTGGTAGCAGCTGGTGCAAATCCAATTCAAATTACTAGGGGCATTGAGAAAACCACTAAAGCTCTTGTCGCTGATCTCAAATTAATGTCAAAAGAGGTAAGCTAGTACATGCTTCAACCTGGTTATGACAGCTTGGGTCTGGATGCTTCTGTTTTATTTTTACCCAAACCCCATTGATAGACTACGCTGATTTGGCTTTTGAACCTACTTGTTACTTTGCAAGGTTCACTTACTAAATCAGGATGGCACATTTTCCGTGGATATGTTTTGCAGGTGGAGGACAGTGAACTAGCAGATGTTGCTGCTGTGAGTGCGGGAAACAACTATGAAATAGGAAATATGATAGCTGAAGCCATGAGTAAAGTGGGGAGGAAAGGTGTGGTGACTCTTGAGGAAGGAAGCAGTTCGGACAGTAACTTGTATGTTGTGGAAGGGATGCATTTTGACCGTGGTTACATCTC